GTGCTGGGTGGTGGGGTATGGGTGCTGGGTGGGGGGGGGCATATACTACACATCAGGATATTATAGAATATCTGTCCTCTCATATATTTTGGGGTACAGAGAGATCCCGTACAATATAAGGATACAGATCATGTCTACACAGCAGCAAATATTTCATATCATTGTACAATGTATCCAAATATAATGCCGAGCACAATATACAGAAATAATCAATAATACACACTGATCACCGATCAATATCCTGCTCAGGACTCACATGACACAGAAGACAATATAGAAACCAGAGACAACGTGATCTATATTCCACATAATACATAATACTGAGGAATCCCACAATGATACAATGTATCCATACACAGATCACACACATACACCACACTATGTACAGAGAGGGGGGAGCACAGAGCCCGCACAGCACCCTATGTACAGAGATGGGGGAGCACAGAGCCCGCACAGCACCCCATGTACAGAGAGGGGGGAGCACAGAGCCCGCACAACACCCCATGTACAGAGAGGGGGGAGCACAGAGCACGCACAGAACCCCATGTACAGAGAGGGGGAGCACAGAGCACGCACAGCACCCTATGTACAGAGAGGGGGAGCACAGAGCCCGCACAGCACCCTATGTACAGAGAGGGGGGAGCACAGAGCACGCACAGCACCCTATGTACAGAGAGGGGGGAGCACAGCACCCTATGTACAGAGAGGGGGGAGCACAGCACCCTATGTACAGAGAGGGGGGAGCACAGCACCCTATGTACAGAGAGGGGGGAGCACAGAGCACGCACAGCACCCTATGTACAGAGAGGGGGGAGCACAGATCCCGCACAGCACCCTATGTACAGAGAGGGGGGAGCACAGAGCCCGCACAGCACCCTATGTACAGAGAGGGGGGAGCACAGAGCCCGCACAGCACCCTATGTACAGAGAGGGGGGAGCACAGAGCCCGCACAGCACCCTATGTACAGAGAGGGGGGAGCACAGAGCCCGCACAGCACCCTATGTACAGAGAGGGGGGAGCACAGAGCCCGCACAGCACCCTATGTACAGAGAGGGGGGAGCACAGAGCCCGCACAGCACCCTATGTACAGAGAGGGGGGAGCACAGAGCCCGCACAGCACCCTATGTACAGAGAGGGGGGAGCACAGAGCCCGCACAGCACCCTATGTACAGAGAGGGGGGAGCACAGAGCCCGCACAGCACCCTATGTACAGAGAGGGGGGAGCACAGAGCCCGCACAGCACCCTATGTACAGAGAGGGGGGAGCACAGAGCCCGCACAGCACCCTATGTACAGAGAGGGGGGAGCACAGAGCCCGCACAGCACCCTATGTACAGAGAGGGGGGAGCACAGAGCCCGCACAGCACCCTATGTACAGAGAGGGGGGAGCACAGAGCCCGCACAGCACCCTATGTACAGAGAGGGGGGAGCACAGAGCCCGCACAGCACCCTATGTACAGAGAGGGGGGAGCACAGAGCCCGCACAGCACCCTATGTACAGAGAGGGGGGAGCACAGATCCCGCACAGCACCCTATGTACAGAGAGGGGGGAGCACAGAGCCCGCACAGCACCCTATGTACAGAGAGGGGGGAGCACAGAGCCCGCACAGCACCCTATGTACAGAGAGGGGGGAGCACAGAGCCCGCACAGCACCCTATGTACAGAGAGGGGGGAGCACAGAGCCCGCACAGCACCCTATGTACAGAGAGGGGGGAGCACAGAGCCCGCACAGCACCCTATGTACAGAGATGGGGGAGCACAGAGGCCGCACAGCACCCTATGTACAGAGAGGGGGGAGCACAGAGCCCGCACAGCACCCTATGTACAGAGAGGGGGGAGCACAGCACCCTATGTACAGAGAGGGGGGAGCACAGAGCCCGCACAGCACCCTATGTACAGAGAGGGGGGAGCACAGATCCCGCACAGCACCCTATGTACAGAGAGGGGGGAGCACAGAGCACGCACAGCACCCTATGTACAGAGAGGGGGGAGCACAGAGCCCGCACAGCACCCTATGTACAGAGAGGGGGGAGCACAGCACCCTATGTACAGAGAGGGGGGAGCACAGAGCCCGCACAGCACCCTATGTACAGAGAGGGGGGAGCACAGAGCCCGCACAGCACCCTATGTACAGAGAGGGGGGAGCACAGCACCCTATGTACAGAGAGGGGGGAGCACAGAGCCCGCACAGCACCCTATGTACAGAGAGGGGGGAGCACAGAGCCCGCACAGCACCCTATGTACAGAGAGGGGGGAGCACAGAGCCCGCACAGCACCCTATGTACAGAGAGGGGGGAGCACAGCACCCTATGTACAGAGAGGGGGGAGCACAGAGCACGCACAGCACCCTATGTACAGAGAGGGGGGAGCACAGAGCCCGCACAGCACCCTATGTACAGAGAGGGGGGAGCACAGAGCCCGCACAGCACCCTATGTACAGAGAGGGGGGAGCACAGCACCCTATGTACAGAGAGGGGGGAGCACAGAGCACGCACAGCACCCTATGTACAGAGAGGGGGGAGCACAGATCCCGCACAGCACCCTATGTACAGAGAGGGGGGAGCACAGAGCCCGCACAGCACCCTATGTACAGAGAGGGGGGAGCACAGATCCCGCACAGCACCCTATGTACAGAGAGGGGGGAGCACAGAGCACGCACAGCACCCTATGTACAGAGAGGGGGGAGCACAGATCCCGCACAGCACCCTATGTACAGAGAGGGGGAGCACAGAGCCCGCACAGCACCCTATGTACAGAGAGGGGGAGCACAGAGCCCGCACAGCACCCTATGTACAGAGAACGCACAGCACCCTATGTACAGAGAACGCACAGCACCCTATGTACAGAGAGGGGGGAGCACAGCACCCTATGTACAGAGAACGCACAGCACCCTATGTACAGAGAGGGGGGAGCACAGCACCCTATGTACAGAGAGGGGGGAGCACAGCACCCTATGTACAGAGAGGGGGGAGCACAGAGCACGCACAGCACCCCATGTAAAGTAAGGGGGGAGGATACATACCAGAGCCCGGCACAGGGAGGCGGCCAGCAGCAGCAGAACGGGGGTGCTCCGGAGGATCTAGAAGAATACACAGCACGTTAGAGGGGGATCAGGATCGGGGAGGAAGAAGAGGATGAGGATGGGAGACTCTCTGCCTCTTACCATGCTGGATGAGGAACGGATCGATGTGTGCAGAAGAATGATTGTCCGGAGGAGCCGCTGCAACTGTATCCCAAATCTCTGTGTCCCCGCCCCTACCCCTGACTCCTCCCACTGCATACCACCCTAGTATACACCGTTCCTCCTCCTCCTCTCTGCACCCCCCTTGATATATCCCAAATCCCCAACACACAGCCTGCCCCGCATTCCCTCCTGTGCTCCCCATCCTCCGGCTTCACCCTCTCCCACCACTGCCCGAGCAATGATCCAATATTCCCTTATACAGGACATGACCCAGATATTCACATCGCACGAATGTGTGTGCATACCGCCCGATACCAGCTCCGTATAGAGATTCACCCTCCCAGATATCACAAATCTCCTCATCCCTATCCTCCATACAAATCTCTCCTTATCACTATCCTCCATA